TGTCCTCCATGTGGACCTGTGCTTCGGGCTGGCAGCTGCCACTCTCGTCCAGTCCATCGGCCACATCAGCGGCGGCCACATTAACCCTGCCGTCACCTTTGCCTACCTTGTCGGCTCACAGATGTCTCTTTTCCGCGCCATTTTCTACATGGCCACCCAGTGCCTGGGTGCTGTAGCTGGGGCTGTTGTGCTATACGGGGTCACACCTGGCAACATGAGAGGCAACATGGCAATGAACACGGTAAGGCCCCAACATAGGGGATTAGGAAACAAGTGCAGCAATGTTGAGAGGGGTGAGGTAGAAGTTTTTCCATCCATGGAAAACATGGCAAAAAATGTAGAGTTTTAGGTTCAGTTCATTGAAGGCCATCTATCAAAACCAGGGAATAAAACACCAAAAACAAATGCTGTAAGTGTACTTGTTTAAAGTGACACAGTTTTTCTGAAATAAAAGTGAAATTCAGTCGTATATGTTCAGTGCAGCTCGGAGATTTCTTTGACTTATGCAAATGTTTTTTTGTCTGTCTGTGAACCTCCAGCTGCAGCCGGGCATCAGTCTGGGAATGGCCACCACTGTGGAGGTTTTCCTCACCATGCAGCTGGTGGTGTGCATCTTCACCGTGACTGATGAGAGGAGAAATGGACGCCTGGGATCTGCCACCCTATCCATCAGCTTCTCCGTCACCATTGGACACCTCATGGGGTTGAGACACTCAAAAACACAGATATCAAATGACAAATAATTATCTTTAAAGACACAACAATAAGTGTCTTGTGTTTTAGATGTACTACACCGGTGCTGGAATGAACCCTGCTAGGTCCTTCGCCCCTGCTGTGCTCTTCAGAAACTTCATCAACCACTGGGTAAGACCTGCAGTCACACTGTCCACATCAATCTGAGTAGGACTGTCAGAACACTGTGTTAAGTGATGTTTGCTTTCGGCAGGTGTACTGGGTCGGGCCTATGATAGGAGGTGCAATGGGCACCCTTCTGTACGATTTCATGCTGTTCCCACGCATGAGAGGTCTGTCCGAGCGCCTGGCCACACTGAAGGGCAGCCGGCCCCCTGAGACGGAGCCAATCGAGCTCAAGACACAAACCCTATAAACCTGCCCCTGTCCCCTTCACCCCACTACACAAAGCATTTCAATAAATATTTCAATGATAATAAACATAAAAACTTGATACAAGGTTTGGGTCGTTTTTGTTTCTTTAAAGTTTGCATTTTGTTGAGTTGAACATGGAGGAAAATTTTCAGCTGCATTTAATCGTTTCAGCCAGAAGAGGGCGACTCTCACATTTAAATTTAAATTACTTGAAGGCAAAAATTAATCATGAAAGGTGATTGCTCACTGCGGTGTGTCTGCTTTAAGAGACATAATGCTGTAATAGATTATGTTTGAGGTACATTTGGAGGTGTAGTTCAGGGAGGGGTTATTTGAGAAAGACAGGCTTCACCCAAAGGGGACTTTTGCTCATGTCTGATAAGCAACACATTCATTTATCTTCCCTCTTCTGTTCCTGTGCATCACAGCTGATAAACTACAGCATGACTCCACCTCTACAGCCCTGACAAACAAAGACAGTTAAAGCTGGTGATATTCTATGTTTTTCTTATGGTCAACAAAGCCTACAAAACCATCAAAACAACAATGATTTGTCTCTTATCTTATTCATCTGTGCTCTGGAGCTCTAATGTTGCATAAGACCTATAAATAAAACACATCAATGAGCCACACTGGGTGACTTGTCCCTGCATTAAAATGAACCTGAGCGCTGTAGTTTATTTTGAGTAGCTCCCACATACACCGTCCTCAGTGGTGTAGCGGTTGTTGATGAGGTAAGTGTGCGACTAGGTCGATGGGTAGGTTACCAAGGTGAATATATATTCCAATGACTTTTTGTCTGATAGGTGGGTATACTGTAAAGTGCCATGAAAAGAGGTGGGTGTACCCGTATGCCCGCGTAAACCCACCACTACACCACTGACCATCCTGCTGCTGGGAAATGTGAATCAATCCACATCTGAAAATAGTTTCCAACAAATACAATATTTACTCAACTTTGGGAAAATATTTACATATGTTTTTTAATATTATTTTTTTGGCTTTAATTGATAGGACAGTGTTAGTATGAAGGGGAGGAGAAAGAGGGGATGACATGCAGCAAGGGACCACAGGCTGGAATTGAGCCTTCAGCCACTGTGACAAGCACATTGCTTTTGTACGTGACGCCTACTTTACCCACTGGAAGTTGGTTAAGAAAAATGAAATGAAATGAAATGAAATGAAATGAAATGAAATAAAATAAAATAAAATAAAACAAAATAAAATAATGCATTGTAGGTTTTGGTCTATTGAATTGAAGGCTTTTTTGACATCAACAAAAATATGGAATATCACTGGCCTTATCCTTCAAGTTTCATGGCAGGTGAGAAAGAGATGTTGTCTCCAGTGCAGTCAAATTGGCGATTACAAGCCATAATGTACAGTAAATGATGCCCCAAAAAATGCCATTCAACCAGTCAAGTTGTAGTTTACACCCACGTCTGTCCAGACTCATACTGTATGTAGCCATGACCGAAGATAATGCTTCAGATGTTGCTGCAAAATCATATCCTAAAACATGGATGCTTCACACACATCTTCAACCCAGCAGCACATAAGATTTATACAATCAGCACAGTTTCAAGGTGGACACCCGAGATTAACGTCACCAAGTCATTATCTGACCAAATGTCTCCCCTTCTGCTCCTGAGTTATGGTGTTGAGTAATGACAAGAAAAGTGTTTTTGTAGACCATTATGATGTCACAGTGAAGCTGACCTTGGACGTTTTGGATGTGAAATGTCACCACTTCATCATTTCATCCTATTAGACATCTGTGTGTAGTTTTGTCATAATTAGTGTGTGGATTGAGTTACAGACAAAAACATGTTTGGTGAAGTCACAGTGACCTTTGACCTTTGACCACCAAATTCTAATCAGGTCATTGTTGAGTCCAAGTGGGCTTTTTTTTTGCCAAATTTAAATAAAGTCCCTCGAGGCATTCTTAAGATATTACGTTCATGAGAATGGACAACCAGAAAACGTGCCAATGGCCACCGTCACCGGCATGGAATCACATAAACCAAAGCTTTGTAAAAAGTCGTTGTCTGCTGGACCTAGTTTAAAGAATAGTTTAACATTTGAGGAAGTACAGTTATTTGCTTTCTTGCCAAGAGTTAAATGGGAAGATTGATAGCAGTAATATTAACCATACAGTAAACATGAAGCGGAAGCTGGTTAGCTTAATTTGGCATAAAGCCTGAGAACAGGGAAGCAACATGGCTCCGTACAGATGAAACAGAATCTGGTTACCAGCATCAATGAAGCTCACAAATTAAAGCTGGGGTAGGCAGTTTAAATTTGGCGTCATTAGGTTAAAAACTCCATAATGAACTTTTAGCACATTGTTATTCAAGTGGTTTGAGAGGCAATGAGACTTCTGTTTTCAGACTTTAGAAAGTCCAGCCTGTGAAGGGAGATTGGGTCATTTCAGAGAGAAGGTGAAAGTTGCTCTTCTAGTGTTTTGCAACAACTCCCTACACTGCAAAGCAACCCCAAAAAGGAGGATGGAATTATCAAAAAGAGAGTGTCCAGAGAACGTGGCAATATCAATGAGGCATTTTACAGATTAAGAGAAAATGTCGCTAATAGTTTAGCCTTCTGCTAACCGAAGCTAGAGGCTCATGGCTGCAGCCTCAAATTTACATTTATGTAGCTTATGTTGGGTAGAACTTCAAATCGCAGGGTGTCCTCCACCTCACTCCCCGCCGCTACAGACCACCTCACTGGAAGGAGAGTGGGCAGAGGCTCCACAGACAGACCCCGCGTTATTAGTTTGCTTTCACTTTAACGTTGTCCTTATTTTTTTTGTGTGTGTGTGTTAAGTTTTCTGTTCTTCATAAAATCCTGCGCTATATAGTGTTCGTTATTTATAACATTCATCACTGTCATTTTATGTATTTTAAATTGTGCAAACATAAAACCAAACACAAAACCCCTAGTCAGCGCCTGCAGCAACCAAAATCCACCCAGTGCAAAACTCCAGGGGACTACACTCAGCAAACTTTCTGTTGCTGCCTTTACACAGGTAAAACCCAGTTCTTCCGCTGGCTACTAGCCCGCTGTGACACCTGGCACTGGGGCGTTTGCACTGGGTGGATTTGAGCCACTACAGCCTGTCTCTGGAGTTGCTGCCTGATCTCCTCCCGGTGATATAGTCCACAGTGGTGGGGAATGAGGTGGAGGGACTGTGGGGTGACTAGCTAATTCTTGTCTCACTTGTGGTCTGATAAACAGAGAGAGTGAGCAGGACAAAGAGAGGCATAGCAGATGAGCTGTAAATGAACAAATAGGAAACACTGGGTTTCTGTATGGAGTGTAAACATATGCCTGTGGTTGTCTGGTGGGAGGGGCTTAGGACAGAGGGGAGAGCTGCAGGAGGAGGGTGTATTTTCAGAGTTGACTGTTTTATTGTTTTTGTGCCTTTTCCAGATTTCTGCCTACCACAGCTTTACCATTTTTCTGTATGTCTTGTTTGTTTAATCTGTACAAACACCAAAGCGTAAAAGCAACAATTCACTGTTTAATAGGGGGTTATGTGCCAGACTTTCTTGGCTGCTACCCAGCGACTGGAGGTAACCAGCGTAAAACCACAACTTAGGTGATTAGTGGGCGGACTGGCCGCTGGCTGTAGACTTATATTTACTATACAGACATGAGACTGGGAATGATCTTCTTATTTGATACTCAACAAAAAAGCCAACATGTTGAACTAGTCCTATAACCAGTGCGGCTTCACGTCAACACTTTTACCAGTCCATCAGAGAAGTATCTCACAGACACAATGAAATGTCCTCCATGACTCTTGTGTGACTGTATGAGACAGTCTTACAGTCTTCCCACCAGATCTTTAACCACAGTTACTATAATTCGACCACACTCAGAGAACAATAGCATGTCATACTTAGAAATATTCATTTTATTTTGCATATTTGTTTTAAATGTGACGTATGGCTTGGTTCATGACTTTACTAAGTTGGCGCCACAGCACCGTGAGACTCCAGTATCATCGCTAAAGCATCTGTCTGTATTCTGCAGCTGGAGGAAAAAAAGAAAACAAAGAAACAACTGAGCAGTACAATGGGCTGGAAATGGAGCTCGGTCCTGACACTGGCGTATACTGCATCGCTCTATTTCTCTCTCACTCAACTCATACACTGAGAAGACACCAAATACACTCACACACATTCAGGAACAACATCACCTACACCCAGACACATTGACTTGATATGTATTGACAACTTTGTAATTTAGGTATCAGAAAACCAAACAGTCCCCAAATCCAGACACTGCTCCAAAAGTTACAGGTCAGAAATAGCCTAATGAGCCGCTGCAGGAATTTCATGTGATGACTATTGTGTTTGAAGTGTTAACAAAGTCTCAGTAATGTTCTAGCAGTTGCAATACAAAAACAAAATACCAGTGTTGTCTACCTTATTCATGCTCATCCATTATCACCACATTTGCATATTCTGTTTAACTGTTGATTATCACCATGTAATGACTTGCCAGCGGCAGATAAAAGGAACAAAAGGGAGCACAATAAACATTTTGTTCATTTGAGATGAGAGGCTAATAAAAATGACAAACTGAACCAGGTGCAGAGAGAGAGACAGAGAGAGAGATCTCTAAGGCCATAGACAGAAAGGTAACCTTGAAGAGGAGGTAATTGGACCTTGGTTTCTGAAAGAGGAACTGGCTCCCAGCTTGGCTTATATCCAGCGTTCAGCTCAGTACCTTTGGAGAAACTGCAGCCGCAGCATCATGTCAAGCAGACATATTTCTTGTTGTCTTTACCTGTCCACTCTCCAGCAGTCGGCCTGCCTCCAGCCTCTGCGCTGAGGGGTCAGCGGTATGACAGAAACGTCCAGAAGATTACCAGTCGTCTCACTCCGGTCCCTGACGTCCTCATGTATGAAAAACATTCAGGTCGTGTGCTGATGACAGTAGCAGTAGAACATTTTCATCAACTATTACAACAACAATAATATATATAAAAAACAGGAATGAGAGTGCTTTCTAAAAGCCCTTTTGATTACATCACACTCTCTCCCTGGTTAGTCTTTTCCCGATGATGTCACAGGTCAACAGTCACGCTGCTTTAAATCATCAGTTTAGCAGCTGCAGCTCCACCCAGAGCTGCTCACTGCATGCGGTCGGGCTGGTGCAGAGGGTAGTGGAGGAAGGCCTGCGGGGCGGCAGACATGGTGGTGAGTGCAGCCAGAGGAGGATGGATGGCGGCTGGAGGGGTCGGGGATGCAGTGAGGGCTGGCGCCGGCGTGCCGGGGGAGAAGCTGTAGCTGAGGTAGCCAGCGGAAGGCGACGGCGAAGGGGTGTAGGGGTACTGCTCCAGTCCTGTGGGGGCGTAGTGGCTGTAGGCAGAGCTGTAGTCCAGGTAAGGGGAGGCGAGGGCTGCGGCTGTGGGGTTGAGCTGGGACTGCAGCACCAGGCTGGGCTGGAGAAACGCCTGGGGGTAGACGTACTGCTGGGCGAGCCTGCAGACAGAGGGACACGGGGCCAGAGGTTAAATGATCAGCCAATTAACTGATTAGCTGAGCAAAAGAGAATTCATCAGCAACAATTTGAATAACAGATTAATAATTTCAGTCATTTCTTCACAAAAAAGTCCACCAGCTCTTCAAATGTGAATATTTGATGGACAGTAAAGTGAACAGATTTGAGGTTTGGACATTTGGTCGAACAAAACAAGCTCTGTACACTTTACAAAAATAAAAACACAACACTTTGGCTCACATTTTCCATGAGTTAAAATAAAAGATCTGATTCTTTTTCTATGCACACAAAAGACTGTTTTTGAAATTCTGATCACAAATTTGTAAATCTGCATTAATCAGCGCCTCTCCAAGATAACCCATCCACCTGACAGGTGTGGCATATCAAGCTGATTAAACAGCATCATTACTACACAGGTGTTCCTGGGCATGGTCACAATAAAGGCCCGTCTAAAATGAGCAGTCTGATCACGAAACACATTGCAACAGTCCCAAGTTTTGAGGGAGCGTGTCGTTGTCTCGCTGACTGCAGGAATGTCCACCAGATGTTTTTCCCGTGAATTAAAAGTTCATTTCACTACCATAATATGTCTCCAAGAATTTAGCAGTGTATCCAAATGATCTCAGCAAAGCAAGGCAATGCAGCTTTATTTGTATTGCACATTTCATACACCAGGAACTTCAAAGTGCTTTACAGAGCATAATAAAGGATACACATTTACAGTAAAACAGTAAAGAAAAAGATATAAAGGATAAAATTAATTACTAAATTATTTGACTGAAAAAAATTACCATGAGCACTACTATGTGTGGAGATGTAACAGTGTTGGTACATACATTTTGGACTGTGATCTTGTAGATGCAGACAGGGTTAGGTTGGCATGTTGATCTTGAGTATTAAATCACAATTAAAAAGCAAAAGTGCAGACAAGAGGTGCAAAGATAAAACGATTATTTAAAATGACTTAAAACAGAGTTTAAAAATAATTTAGCAGGCACACAGGGTGGAGCAGGCAGAGTCAGAGTCAGGGCCTGACATCATCTGGGAGGTTATTCCAGGTTTGTGCTGCATGATAACAAAATACTGCTTCACCATGTTTTGTTCTGACTCTTGGGACGGCCCCAGATGTCCTCAGGGTCCTAAATGTTTCATGTCACAAGCATGTCTGAGAGATTTTTGGGTGTACAGCCACAGAGTGATTTATACACAAGCAGCGAGATTTTGAGATCAATTCTCTGAGCGACAAGTAACCTGTGTTAATATATTAGAGCTGGAGTAATGTTATTATATTTCCTGTTTTTCTGTCAGGACAGGGAGCCAGTGAGTCAGCCCAGGACCTCCACATCTGTCTACTTCATTTTCAAGTTCATTTAAGACCAGCCGCTGACACAAGCGTCCCTCAGATAGTTTCTGACAGTTTGTGCAGAAGGAGTTTGTTTGTGCAAACCAACTGTTGCATCAGCTGTAAGGTGGATGGATTATAATCATGCTGACTAACTGCTCACTAACAGATTTTAACAAAATCATGCACAAAATCTGAGAGCGATAGGGTTTTTTTGTGTGCATAGAAAAAGTCTCAGATATTTTATTTCAACTCATTAAAAACTGAAGCAAAAACAAAAGTGTTGCATTTTTATTTTCGCTCTGTGTATATCTGACAGCTTGGACAAAGAAATTGTGAGAAGCTAAAAAAATAATGAGCAGATGAGTAGAGAAAATAATCATTAACTACAGCCCTAGTTTGGGAATTATACTGCACGCTCACAGCTCCACATAAAACTGGACAAACCTGCGTGGCAGCAGTCTTTGTATGTTTATATATAAATATACTGTAGGCCTATGTCTTCTTACCATTGTCTTATCATCTCTTAGTGACTTCTTTTAACTTTCACTTTTGAATTAGACTGCAGGACAATCACTTTCTGTTTTGTAAAACCAGAACCTAAAATACATTAAGACACTTTGTCATGTTGTTATTGGCCTGCATGTTTTATATTGGATATTCTGGCACTTCTATATTGTTATTTTTAGATCTCTTAATGGCTTGTTGGCAGGTGACTGAACTACAATTCTGTTGTTGAGATCATGACAATGAAGCTCTTTTGAATGTTCAAGTTGCATTCTCATTTTGTGTGCTTCATATTTTCATTTCTTGTTTCTATATATGATGTTATTTATGTTCTTTTTATTGCATTTTCAGCTGATAGGCCACTGTGTAAACCTGTGGGTTCCTGACCTTTATGTCACATTTGTTTGGAGGATTGCTCTCCTCTGTTGGTACAGTTAAAGGGACAGTTCACCCCCAAATCAAAAACAAATATATTTCCTCTACAGTGCTGTTCATCAGTCTGGATTGTTTTGGTGTGAGTTGCAGAGTGTTGGAGATATCGGCCGTACAGATGTCTGCCTTCTCTCCGATATAATGGGAACTAGATGGCACTCAGCTTGTGGTGCTCAAAGCGCCGAAAATACATTTGAAAAACTCAATAGCAATGTCTCTTTCCATAAAACATGACCCGGGATCTCTAGATAATCCACAGACCTTGTTGAGAGCCGTTTCATGAGAAACTATTTTCTCTTTACTGAATAACACCTGCCAACTGTATCACAGTGCAGAAGTAAGTGTGCATCTACACACAGACAAGAGGCTCATACTTGTGACAGCCTGAGATGTAAAAATTAACCATCTGAAACCTGGAGCAACGTCACTTTTCTTGTGCTGCTTTCAGACACCTTTCGTAAGTATTTAAACCTTTGAAGCCTGAGGAAATCGGTGTGATTTCTTTTTTTTTTTTTGGTGTTATTTCTTCATGGGGAAAAAGGCAATGAGCAACTTCGTAAGACATGTCACATAAATTGCAAAAAATATGTAAAAATATGGAATTATTATTAAATTATTTAATACTTTTAAAAAACTGGGGAAAAAACTATATTCATAATTATTGTTATTACATTTTAAAGTTATGTTACAGAATTATTATAATTTTGTAAGCACTCTTTCCAGGTCATTTTTTTGTTTGTTTATTTTTAACTTTCTTTCTTACTTGCTTTTTTTTTAACTAATTGTCTTGTTTTTAATTATCTCAGTTTAATAATTTCTTGCTATTTTTTGGGGGGTCACTTCTTCTTTTGTTGCTCAATGCCTTCATACTGTGTTTTTAAAAGAGATCAAGCCAATTTGCTCAGTTCCCAAAGGGTTAATGGCATCTTTCTCAGATTAGCTGTAATGTTAGCTAGCTCAGTCGTGCTAGGTGAGCTAGCAGTAGATGCACGCCTTCCTCTGCGGAGTGATACAGTTGGCGAGTGTAGTTTGGTGGAAAGAAAATAGTTCCTACATAAACTGATCACAAGAAGGTCTGTGGATTATCTTGAGTAACCAGGTCGTGATTTCTGGAAGGAGACATTGCTGTTGAGTTTTTCCAATGCATTTTTTGGCAGTTTGAGCATCACAAGCTGAGTGCCATCTAGTTCCATTATATTAGAGAGAAGGCAGACATCTCTACGGCTGATATCTCCAACACTGCATCTCAACTCAAAACAATCTAGACTGATAAACAGCACTATAGGTAAGAGGAAAAATGTATTTTTAATTTGGGGGTGAACTGTCCCTTAGAATGTACAAAAGCAAAGCAACAACAAAAACATCTTCATGCCAAGCGAAGCCTGAAGAATAAAATAAGTGTGATAGAGAAGATAAAAATGACACAAACAGGCCTGACCACATTCATATCTGTTTGAGTATCCGATGATGAGTAAGAAAATTTAATTAATGTGTTCAGAGCTGCCACTCTGAGTGAGATCTGATTATCGAGTGTCATTGTAACAAGAACATCAGTAACCAGAGACACACGCTCACTTTGAGTCGCATGTTTAAACATAAACATACTGCAGTTTATTCAGTAACAGCTCCTTTTCTTTATATCCCAACTTGAGTCCTATAATGACGTCTTCCTTTAAGAGCAATTATCAGCACTGTTGCCTCAAAATAGACCTCCTCCCTTGTGTTTAAGTTTAATTAGCACACTGCCAGAGAAATGCTCAAAAAGAAACGCTTTGTTCCAAATGAAATATCACCCATTCAAAAACACCAAATAACAAGCGATAACTTTTAATCACGAGTTGTATTTCTGAAATGAATAATCAGAACCGTGGTCTCTGAGCTGAACGCCTGCACACTCATTCACACTCACTCACACAAGCTGCCACAACAGATGCAGTGCATGAGACTGTTGATACTCCGAGCCACGGCAGTAATGAGAGAAAAAAGTGCTCGGCTGTCCTCCTGTATTCACTCATGCCCTTGCCTCGGGCTGCCCACTTAACCTGAACTGCCTCAGTTACATCTGGCAACAGCTACAGCAATCATATCAGAGGAAGTGGGTCATGCTGCTTAAGTAAAAACAACAGAACATGACAGTATTTAACACTTACGCTCCTGTGATCAGTCAGATGCACTAACCTGACACTAACATTGTCACAGAGTCTTAACAGGTGAGCGGAGCAGCGGGAGGTGGCCTGCTGCTGCTGCTTACCCCTAAACAGAGCCAGAGCAGGGATCAGGTGTGCTTACACAACAAATATATTGGGACTGGGCCTGTTCACACCCACTCTGCTGTGTACACAACACACACAGGCACACACCAGTATGTACAGATTGTCTGCTAATATTCTCCGACCCATATTTTAGTTTTAAAGTTATTCAACTCTACTTGGCTCTTCTATGGACTTATTTAACCCTACTCTGTCAGACTGAGGAATCCTAAAATTCTCCTTAAATGCTTGCCTGATGATGATTTATGTGTCAGCCTGTTTTCATTTAAGCCAAACTAAGTCATACTTTATTCAAGAGAATTACTGCTGCACTATCACAGAAAACTGATTAATTGTAGATATTTTTTTTTACACATTTAACTGTAATTCTTATGCAGATGGTATTTTTGAAGCAGGAATTTCAAATAAAAGGTCTCATCTCTCGTCTCCA